CAAAAAAAGGATATAATTGTATATATAATAAGTTTTCTGTACAAAATGTTTACTTAAGATTTATAGAAGGAGTCTTGGATGTCAGTGTTTAGTAACGTTTGGTACATTTTCTGCCACAGGAAAGTCTTCAGGCCAGAGGAATTAGCACTTTCTGGTTTCTCAGTAACAGGATAAACTGCCCCCCCCCCATGTAAATGTGTTTTGTATGCAAAAGATCAGATATATCTATATATATATACACACACACACACACACATATATATATACACACACACATACACTTTTTTCTTTTTTAAAAGCCCCTCAACAATCAACCAATCACTGATTATAGAAGAATTTCACTGATCAGTCTATGATTTAAATATGATTATTATGTAATCCATCAGGTCCAATAAAAAGTTAAAATAATCAGAGTAATAAAAGTTTTAATCCATCAAAGGCTTAATAATAACTTTCAATCATGAATAGAGAGTGCCTTAATATTAAATCAGCATTTAAACATGATCATCTTGTAATAATACATGAAATAATTTATTAATCAGAAAATAAGAAGTGAATATTCATGTAGGTGAAACTAGGACAAATTGATATAACTGCAGCTTGTGGGAAATCACTGGGCACACATTTCTCACTCGCAGTTTGTATCTTTTTTAAATACAACGGAGCTTGTCCTCTGTATCTTCAGGAGTGGTCCATTTTTCAAACTGCAGCAGTTCGAAAAATACAGAATATGCTCGTACTGATAAATCCACCGGTGTTAAAGAAGATGCACCAATGTTCAAAGAAGTGTGTGTGTTAGTTTGCTAAAAGACGTCCTTTATACTCTTATCAAATAAGAGACGGATGAGCTGTAGAGAGTCTTTGTTATGAAAGTGTACAAAATAGTGCAACAAGATGGAGTCCGGCAGTCGCTTTGTAAACCGACTCGGCTCTCATTACTCTGGTAATAAAAATATAATTTCTTTGTGCCATCAAATACCTTGAGATCAGAAGTTTTTGTTTTTGCTGAAAAAGATTCCATAACGATCAACATTGTTCCCATCGACCAATCACTGATCACCATTTTTGCCATCGACTAACCACTGACTACAGTTGTTTGTTGAGTGCTAGATATTTTCCTTCCCAAAACAGCAAACTGCATAGTCAATTTTATAGATTTAACAAGCAAATATGTCTGTATGTTGATTGATCTAAAGCAAATACTTGTATACACATTTAAAGGGGTCATGACATTTTTTTTATTATTATTATTATTATTATCTGAGATGTATTTATAATATTATTAAAAGGTTGGGCTTTTTTTTTTAATCATTTCTGATCTTTTCCCCACTGTCTGATCAAAACGTTCTGTGTTTGTGTCCTTTACCTTTAAGACTTTGTAACCACCCACTGCTATGATTAGCTAACATCTTTAATTATCAATCATTAATCATGTGCTCAATCAAAATCATTAATTATCAACATCCCCTGCCATAACATGTGCGGGGCCAACGGTGCAATGATGTAAAAGTAGGTGGCGACGTCTTGCTTTAGGGGCAGTCATATGAAAATGTATTTGCCCGTGTGATGTCACAAAACCAGTCACATTTAAACGAGCCGTTTTTGGAGCCTGGCTAAATAAACACTCTTTGTACCAAGGAGGACGTATCAAGCTATGAAACTTTAGAATATTTTAAATGGTACAGTGACCTCTTATATGTCAAAAGATAAAGGAAAATTGATTTCTCATGTCATGACCCCTTAAAAGGTTAAACGAAAAGTGCTAGTTTGTTAACTGCTGATGCGGTGCACTGCCATGTTTATTTGATGTCAATCCCTGAACTTGTAGGTGAGACTACTACCCTGAGTTAGTGATCTGACTCTCATGAACGATTTGTTCATTTTGAACGAATCTTTAATATGACTCGGGAATGAGTTATCTCAGAGAGTGATTCATTTACATTACATTTATTCACTTGGCAGACGCTTTTATCCAAAGCGACTTACAAATAAGCAAAGCGATATCTCAAGCAGAGAACAATACAAGTAGTGCTACTATACAAGATCCATTAATTGAATACCAGAGGAAGCAAAGTGCACAGAGTAGAGGTGTAAGTGCTCAGGTGTTCATGGAAGAGGTGGGTCTTTAGCTGTTTTCTGAAGATAGTGAGAGATTCTGCAGTCCGGATTGAGATCGGAAGTGCATTCCACCACTGGGGAACGGTAAGCATGAAGGTTCTGGAAAGGGACCTTACGCCACGCTGAGTGGGAACTACTAAACGTCGGTCGCTAGTCGATCGCAGATTGCGAGAGGGAATGTATGCCTTCAAGAGAGAGTTGAGGTAGGAGGGTGCTGTTCATTTTGTGTTGACTGCAACATCCCCATAGGTTCTGTAAAGGAAACAGAAATGATTAGTTCATCTCTCGAGTCTTCGAGTCGTTCATTCATCACGTCACAGCCCCATTACATTCAGCCTATGGAGCTGTGACATGATGAATGAACGACACGAATCCTGAAGACTCAAGAGGTGAACTAATCGTTTCTGTTTCCTGGGGAAAAACGTGACAAATGTGGCGTGAAAAAAGAACGACTCGGATCGGGAGCTGAGGTGAACTAACATACTGCATAGCCTGAAGACACAGACAAGCTATTAATTAATCATTTCTATTTCTGATAATGGGCGCACGTTCGCCTCACACCTCCAGGGTCCGGGGCTCAAGTCCCGCCGCGGAGTTTGCATGCTTGGCCTGTGCTGCAGGGATTTCCTCCGGGTACTCCGGTTTCCTCCCCCAGTCCAAAGACATGCATGGTAGGTTGGTTGGCATGTCCAAATTGTCCGTAGTGTATGAATGGGTGTGTGAATGTGTATGTGGGACCCTGTACAGGGTGTACACAGCCTTGTGCCCGATGCTCCCTGGGATTGGCTCCAGGTTCCCCGCGACCCTGAAAAGGATTAAGCTGTAGAAGATGGATGGATGGATTTCTCATAATTCGGCCTTGGTCGCATTAGACTATAGTTTATTTTTTATTCCAAATGTGATCAAAGTTTGCGCAAGTACTAGATGTGTTGCGGAATTTAACATGCAACATTTTAATTACATTCTGCGAATGACCCGAAAAAAAATGTGTGACGTCACTGCCGGACCGTTTTAGCAAAACGCCCCCCCTCCCCTCCCCTCCCCTCCCCAAGAAATTCAAAAATGGAAGCACTAATTTCAGTGATATCGACCTACCCTGTGCTTTACAACACGGCTGTGAAAGATTATAAAAACAACTTTAAATCTGTCTGGTTTGCGGTGTCGTTGAGAACAAGAACAGGCGGTATATTTAACAAATGGAAACATCAAATTATTTTTTAATTGCTTCAAACATTTGACTGCTGTAAAACGTAATTACATATGAAAACTTCAGTGCCGTGAAGTATGATGGTGATGACATCACACCCGGTTCCCGCCCATATTCGCAGCGGCGTTCGACAAAGACGCGCACGTAACCGCGTCATCACTTGTAGTGCGTTATGCAAATGAAAAGGGCGAATAAATTAACATGCTAATTAGCTTGTGACGCCCCCGGTGACTTAGGGCAACATTTTCCAGCGTTTTCTCTGAAAAGAATGGGCAACCCTGTGCAGCACGAACATTTAAACCAAGCCGGCTCATTAAAGTGTGTAATAAATAAACACAGTGGTGTCAGCTCATACCTGTGCGCGGCCAATCATGGGTCTTAGTCGGGGTCCGTGTCTTCTCTCTGGTCTGCTGAATGCAGTCTCCAAGAGCAAGCATGCCTCCACTACTGATAATGTTAGTCACTAGCAGATATTTCCCTGAAAACAGCGGCTTCCAGTAGAAAGATATCCGCACGAGTAAACCCTTACTTTGAGGTATCATGACTAGCTAGGCTGTTGTGTTAAAGGAGGAGTGTAAAATCATTTACAATAAAAGATTAAAGCAGCAAATTCACCTGTCCAAATAACTTAAACCACAAAAACAAAACAGGAACTATGTGTTAACAAACACAGCCGGCGACATGTCTTCACGCTTGTTCATGAATGCTTCACTTTTCAGACAGGAAACAAAATCATTTACAATAAAAGATTAAAGCAGCAAATTCACCTGTCCAAATAACTTAAACCACAAAAACAAAACAGGAACTATGTGTTAACAAACACAGCCGGCGACATGTCTTCACGCTTGTTCATGAATGGTTCACTTTTCAGACAGGAAACGGTAGTCTTCCGGGAATTCAGGGCAGGATTTTAAAGTAAAAGTCTTTTCAAAGTTTATTATTATTATTCCTTTTTTTAATGAGAAAAAGCAACATGTGGGACAATTAAAGATATTGAACGTAGTTTGAAAAGAAACAAACGCGGTTTGTTTGGTTACACTCATCACGATTTCAAAATAAGTGGTCTTGTAAAAGGTGTTGATAGAGAATTTAATTCAGGAGAACACAAGTACAGGATTATTATTATTATTATTATTATTATTATTATTATTATTATTGTTGTTGTTGTTGTTGTTGTAATAATAATAACAATAATAGTAATAATAATAATAATAGTAACAATAATAGTATTATTTAATAATAAATAAATAAATACATGAATAAATGAATGAATGAATGAATGTAATAATAGTGAATAATAATAATAGAGAATGAATAATAATAATATTAATAAAGCTCCGAAACAGCTATTTTGATTTGAGGAGCATGTTTTCGTGACAAAACGCAGTTTGGACACCAGATAGAGTTATCGAGTGACAAATGGTGAAGTGTGTGACCCCCTGTCACCGAGCAATAACATACTGTGAACACCCAACAACTTCAAGACTCCCGCACAGCGATCTGCAGACGGTGAAAATCGTGTAGTGTTAACTTGGCTTAAGGTTGTGTGTTCATTACCAGTAAGGATGAGCAACAAAACCTTATAAACTACTTTGCCTTGTAATGTTTTTAAGAGTTTCCTCTCATTAATTAACAGAAAAATGTACAGACATTCAAACAGTACCTTTAAGTGAACGGTTCTGTAGTGTAGTGGTTATCATCAGTACTTTACAAGCAGTGGCAGAAGGTCCTGGGTTCAACCCCCAGTGATACCATACATTTGTGAAACATAATATAATACATGCAAGCTTGTGTTTATGACCAGTAAGTAATACCTCCTAAGCACCTAACCTTCTGGTATTTTCCCCCTCATTAGTTAACACTATCCTACAATATGTATGCACACTCAACTTGTACCTTTAAGCAACTGATTATGTAGTGTAGTTTAGATCACGTCTACTTTATATGAAGACGTTCAACCCCCAATTTAACCATAGTTAAAAAGTGCAGCATAAAAAGTGCAGCATAAAATGACAACGGTTGTGTGTTCATTGCCAGTAAGGATGAGCAACAAAACCTTAAGTTTTCCTGATGGTTCCTCGTTAATGAACAGTGAAATGTATAGACATTCAACCAGGTTATTTATCCAACTGGTTCCATAGTGTAGTGGTTATCACGTCTGCTTTACACGCAGAAGGTCCTGGGTTCAAAACCCAGTGGAACCATACATTTGTTAAGTGTATGTGTAACAAAACCCCATGCGTCAGCATTAGACAACACTATCCTACAACATGTATGCACATTCAACTTGTACCTTTAATCAGTAGTGTTTAATCAAACCTTAAAATGAGTAAGATTGTGTTTATTGCCAGTAAGGGTGAGTAATGGAAGTATTATAATAGCAAGGACGTTTGGTACATTATTTACAGTTGCAAATTCAAGATCACTAACCTGTAAAAACAAAACCCTTTGACCTACCTCAGCTTTTATTATTTTCAATAGTTGCTCTCACTAATTAACATTATTCTACAATATGTATACATGTTCAATGTGTAGAGCAATAGGAGCAATAGTGTATATAGTATACAGCAATATTATAATTAACAAATGATCATGCATCTGTAGACAACTTATATCAATGGCAGAAGAATAATTTTTTAGGAAGTTCTAAAATCACATTTACATTGAGATTTATTTGTTCAAAAACATGTACAATGACACAGATCTGTAAAATGCAAAAATGGTTGATCAGCCAGTACAATGTTTGAAGCTTGCTTCTTCAGTTCTGCACTGGAGCTACAAGGTTAATGTAGCTCATATAAGGGAGCTTATTCTGTACCTGCCAGTCTAGCACTACATAAAACAATGTCTAAAAGTATCTCAGTAATTACACATTTGCCTTTGGCAACTTCTATAGATAAGTTTCACACAGCATCAGAAATCACATTAGCAATCTGAATTGGGTCAGCTGAGGCAATTTAATTGATGGCACTATAATAAGCACTGTACTACTTATTTACTTTGGCATGAATAACTAGTTACATTCAATTTTAATGAAATGGCATTTTTAAAGGAGTGTCTTCAGGTCTACCTGGCTTGCTTTGAAGTAATATTATTCCTAATTCAAAATCATTTTACTGCAGTCCACCATTACCAGCTGGAAAACTACAACAAGTAATGAAACCTAAGTGAAAAAAAACAACATTTTTTTTAACCATATCAAACACAATAGACACAAGGTATTTTCTTCGGATAAAAATGTCTGCTTGTTTTATCGATCTAAATATTTGCCAATTAAACAGGTAAAACTGGAATTTCGCCAAAATATATTTTTTTCCTTCATGATGAAATATTATTGACGAGATTTAAGGTAACACTGGAGGCTGAAACTGGCTCTCTGGCAGTCCTGGTATTTAAAATCACAGCCAGCTGGTCATTAGCATAAAAGGAACTTTCAACTGCACTGCTACTTTTTGGAGATGTCTTCCATGTAGTCTAATATACTCACAGGCCACTTAATTAGGAACACCTGTAGTCCAGCTTAATGGTGCAGTTATACAATCAGCCAATCATGTTGCAGAAGTGGAATGCATCAAACATCATTAAAAAGGGGAAAAATGTGATTTTGGTGACTTAGAGTGTGCCATGATTGTTGGCACCTGATGGTTTGAATATTTCAGAATCTGCTGATAATCATGCACAACAGCCTCTAGAGTCTTTAGAACCGTGATGAAAAGAAAAGCATCTCAGAATGCACAACATGTTGAACCTTGATGTGGATGGGCTACAAATGCAGAAGACAACATCAGGTTCCACTCCTGTCAGCCAAGAACAGGAATATGAAGGTACAGTGGGTACACGCTCACCGATACTGGACTGAGAATCTTAATTTCTAATGCAAGATGTAGATGGTAGGGACAGAATTTGGTGTCAACATGAATCCATGGATGTTAACAGTTTAAGCTGCTGGTGGTGTAATGTTGTTGGGAAGGTTTTCTTAAAACACATTGGTCCCCTTAATAACAATCATTTGAATGCCACAGCCCGAGTATTGTTGCTGACCATGCGCATACCTTCATGGATACAATATACCCATTTTTAAAGGCTGCTTCTAGTACGATAATGCATCATGTCACAAAGCAAAAGTAGCCTTAAACTGATTTCATGAACATGACAATTGGTTTGTTGTTCTTTAGTGGACTCCCCAGTCAGGAGATCTGAATGCAGTAGAACACCTTTTGGGATGCTGTAGAATCATAGCATGAATGTGCACCTGAAAAATCTGCACCAATTATATGATGCAGTCATGTCGACATGGACTTGAATCTCAAAGGGATGTTTCCAACATATTGTTCAAAGTGAAGATCTGAGGCCTGAGAGCAAAGGGAGTTCTACCCACTAAAAGTATATTCCTAGGAAAGTGGACAGTGAATGTATATTATTGGTGAATAGCGCCAAACGACACTGAAAACAGCTAGAATTCCCTTCACTAGTGAGAATGTGAAAGTCTAGACATGTTTTTAGGACACCTGATAAAGCTCAGGACAGGTGTATGAACTCATTTAGCTTACACACTAATTCAAATGATTGATCTGAGTAACTGATTAAGGCAGTTAAATGTCCAAGTAGTGAAAGAGTTAAGTAATAACTGCTGTGGGACTATAGTTTATTATCCAGTGGCGTAGCTGAGGGAGGAGACATTGATGAGTCCTCTGGCCCCAATTCCTCCATTGGTTGGCTTTCCTGTTCAAAAATATCAAAAGAAAGAGGACAAAAGTTTGATAAAATTGATGCTGGGAAAAAGAACATGGAAGCCCTGAAGGGTAAAAATAAAATTAAATTGAAACATCCAAAGTAAGATGTTCTCTTGCAACAAAAACAGCTGGAAAAATGATTTCCAATAGGTGCAGCTGACTAGTTATTATCTGGTGCTTACCAATCATGGGTCTATAATCTTTGAGTAATAATGAAGGCAGTAACATTATGAATTCACACATATGAAATTATTCACGAACCAAGAAAAGTGTTATTTTTTATTTATTTTCAAATTCTTTGGGGAAACAGTTTCATTTAAAGCAGAAAGTATTATTAAAATCTATTTTTATTCAATCATAAGCTTCATCAAAATGGTTTCATGATGGTGAAAAATATATCCTATCTAGCATGTCCAAACTTTTTACTAGTAGTAAAAAGTAAAATCTAAAATAAAAAGTAAAAATATAGCATATACTGTCTTTTTACACTACTGTTAGTTCCTGTCTACTAATTTAATGCTACTTAATGCTGTATTGGCAGTCTGACTCCATATCCCAGAATGCACCTCTGACTACAAACATGGCCACCCTGGACTCCATCTCCCACTTCATACACTCAGGTTTACCTTGTCTCAATCACCACCACACACTCTTTAGAACACTCATAGCAGTAAGACTTTAAAATGAAAGTATTCATTCATCTCTGTTTCTCATCCACAGTGAGGGGAGCATACCCATGAACTCCACCAATACCTCTAGAAATCAAGGGAGCACCTGCCTACAGAATCAAAGCCATCCAAGACTCACGTTGCAGAGGAGGTAAGCTACAGTACCTGACTGACTGGGATGATTATTGTCCTGATGAAAGGTGCTTTATCCCAGCCCCCATCGTATTCGGCCCTCTCATGATTCAAGACTTCTATGCCAGGCATCCTGAGAAACCCAACCCTTGTCCCACAGGCTGACCTAGACAGAACTCTGCTGTCAATCACTACCACACACTATTTAAGCACACTCCCAGCACTAAAACTGATGTACCACTCCTTTTGTTTTATGTTTGCTATTTTCTGGTTTTGACCCAAGTTTGTTTTCCTGTTTCACTATTATCATCATATCGTCCTCTGAATACATTTTTATATATCGCCTGACCCTTTGCCTGATTTTGACTTCTGTGATTAAGATTGTGCCTTGTATTTGTTTGTGCATTCCGGTCTTTGTTTTAAATAAAAGCATTCAAATATCGGCACAGCTGCGATAACCTACGAGCGAATCATAGCCGTGCTGATATTCAGTATAACCGCACTCTTGCTCGTGCAACATTGCTTAAATGTCCAACACAAAAAAGCATCAAGCATGCACATAAACATAAAGACAAAACTAATCGATCTTATTTGGGCTTAGGAACACTTACCCTGTGCTTGAGATATGAGAGGTATGTGTCCCATCCCAGTGTAATTGTATTTACATACAACACCCGAAACTTCGCTGGTAAGAAGTAGAAGTTGATAATCTGTGCAGTCGGCCAGAAACACCAGTCCGCCTAATACAGTACAATACAATACAGTATTTTTAAAAACATGTCCGTCTCTGACTCAGGTATATCATACAGTGAGGGGAAAAAAGTATTTGATCCCCTACTGATTTTGTACGTTTGCTGATCATTTCTTTGTCAGTGGGCAAACTCAAAACCAAAATCAAATTTGGAAGATAAAAATGAAAGCAGATGGTAAGTCGTACAAATCTTACCCTATAGAACTCCCAGAATTTCTCTTTAAACTCAGAGCAGCCTTTGCGCCACCCGTGACCCTCCATCACGCCCATACCTGAAACATGTACACAGGTACATAAACACCACAGGCTTCAGTACAGTGGCGATGAACTGATACCATTTATTCAGACTGAGTACATGTATTTTGGTATTCTTTGATACTGATACCCATTTAATATTAAGCAACTGGAGGAACATGTAACATTTTACTTAGTTCTAGTTTTGCTGGTTGCTGTGATATAATTCTAGCAAT